TCCTTAGCTCTTCATCAGGTAGGACTTCAGATTGTTTAACACGTGCTCTCATGAATTCCGCATCTTTACAGACTTTTTCATACTGGAAAAGACCTTATTTTATATGTTGGGTGGTTCTTTTCCACTCATTCCCAGCACCATATTGCAGTGACAAAACTGCTTTTTCTAAGCCTTTCTCATAAATTGTGTCCTCTGTCCCTGTAACCATTACTTTCAGTGGCTTCCTGTCTTTCATTGTCTTTCCTTATGACCTTTTTTGGAGAGGGTGTAGAGATTATAATTAAAGGTCAAAAGAAAATCTTCCCCAGATCAGTAGCTGTTGGCTAGTGGTTCAAGGCTATCTTCTTTTGCTCTTCAGAGCTGCCTTTTGTTGCTATATTCCGCTGTATTTTAAGAAGAAAGTGAAGGTAAATAGATGGTCCTGCAGCTTCTTTTTCCAGGCAGAAGGGAAGGCATTGTAAAATGACTTTGGTTATGGGAGAGTTTCCCTAAGTCCTTCCTTGGACTGGGGATCACTCTAAGGTGGGTGCAACTTTGCAAGCACTTTAGAGGCGAGTCTTTATGAACTTGTTCCATACACACCATCTATCTGTGACCTTTTTGTCCAGAGCAGCGCAGAATTATGGATCAATCAATGAAATAAATGTTAGCCAGGTCACACTGTGTTAAGCACTGACTAGTCAGCCTTGGAATTTATAGCCATTGAAATATTTCTTGGGATTTTACCAAAATGCCACCTGGGTAAGAGGACTTTAGACAGGATAATCTTTGTACCCTTGCATCAGATATTAGCAAGCAGATAACAGCTTGCAGCATTCTTTAGGGTGACTTAGTATCTGATTTATTGCTTTTACAGGAAGCTTTTTTTTGGGGGGGGGGGCTCTGAAAATACCATTTGTCCAAAGGAGGTAGGAGTCTTTCCAAGGGAATACTAGCAACTTCTACAGAATCTGGGCTTTAATTAATAGTTAATCACGCCTGAGTCTCAGGGCTTCTCATTCAAGCACTGTCTTGCATTGTTTTAAAGATATATTTTAGTGCTTCTTCATGGTGCTTACTTGGCTTTCCTTTTTTTTTTTAATTGTACAGGTATTAACTCCAGAACTAATGTGGGTGGAACATAAAGACAGGGCTGTCGTATCTTGCTGAGGCAACACAGGCTTTATTAAGGTCATTTTTAAATTACTCTGCATTGTTACCCTTAAATGAACTAGTTTACTTTCTGATCACTAATTCTAGTGAACGGAACAGTCCTCAGAAAGCTAAATTCTCCTTTGAGATCGTCATCTGTCTCAGTTGCAGCAATTTCCCTTTCTCTGGCAGGGGCCAGTGTAATTTTGCTCCACTTGTACTGAGACTGCTACGAAGCTCCCTTTCCTAATCATGCTCCCTCTTCTTTATCGCATCAAACTTAAGACGCCCATCTTCATTCTTCAGCCTGTCCCTCCCATGGTCCAGGACTACAGCACATAGGAGCTTTGGTAGCATAATAAACTGTCATGGATTGATACAAGCGCATCCTGAAGCTGACGACTGTTTTGTGTGGGTCTTCGAAATGCAAGGCAAAAGTTCATTCAGCAATAAAGGTTAAAACCTTGCATTTCAGGGTCATAATTTGAATTTTTGTCATATGGGGATATACACGATTCCCTTGTCCTCAGGAATGCCTTAAATTTCTTCCTTCCTCTGCTGCTGGGGTTAGGCCAAGAATGAGCCATGTTGTGTAACCAAGGTAAAAGTTGTCTCCCCCTTCCTTCAAATACCTGACCAATAGCTTAATTATAACAAAACCTCTTTTTAACAATCCCAACAGCAGGGGCCAAACTCTTGCTTTACTGTGGGGTAGCAAATGGATAAGTGTTTTTACACTGAACACTCTCTTTTAGGGAACTTTTGTCCTGGTCCTGCAGTGGGTTCCTTATAATGAGGTTGTACATTATGTCCTTTTCATGGATTCTTCAGGAAAAAAAAACACCTGCTTTCCCACATTGGGCATGTAATTAGGTCTGTTCTTGTTAGTCTGAACACGTAAAACTATATTTAATCATGAGGTACAGGGTGGAGAGTAGGTTTTGTACCTTGGCTCTCCAGGACAGGCAAAATAGACAAAGTGGTGATTTTTATATTTTAGCTTGCCTGATAGTACTAGCTCAGTGTGTTGTAACTATAATAATGTAATTGTTTCCTTACGCAATTAAAGGCTTCAGTTTTTATGTAGCGTAGCCACAGAGAAGTAAGGAAGTCTGTCTCACTTTTATTCACCACCTTCTGCATATGTGTCTCCTTGTTACTGCATATTTGGGTGAATATCAATACCACACAATACAGTACAATTTTTAGCTCAGAGTGTGATTTTATTTTTATTTTTTTTCCTTCAGAACGAATCGTTTCACTTGGGTTCTTAGTCCCCTTTAATAGGTATCAAATTAATTTTCAAAGGGTAGAGGTTCAGCGCTTTCTGAAAATAACCCCTCCACCCCGCATTACAATGCTTCGTATTGTTAAGAGGTGTAATTTGCTGGAAGGGAATTAACTGTCGTCCAGCAAAGCGCCACTTAACTCTTTTATAATTCAAACCTTGTGTGATTGTGAGGGACCCGCTTCAAGTCCTGTAGTGGATCAGGGTAACTTGATGCTGTTGACTACCAGGTTACCTGGGAGGAAAGACTCCTCATGTTCTTTATGGTCCTTACCGTGCAAACTGCTTAACTTGTGCAATTCATTGCCATAGGAAGTGATGGAGGCAGAGAGCACATCCAGGTTCAAAAAGGAACTGGATAAAGTCATGGGTAATAGATCTATTAATGGCTATTATAGGATTATAGAAAATGAGTGTTGAAGGGACCTCGGGAGGTCGCATCTAATCCACCCCCTGCTCAAAGCAGGACGAACTCCAACTACATCTCAGCCGAGGTTTTGTCTACACGGGTCTTCAAAACCTCCAGGGATGGAGACTGCACCTCTCTGAGGAGCCTGTCCCAGTGCTTCACCACCCTCCTCATGAGAGAGTTGTTTCCGAATATCTAATCTCAGCTTCTCTTGCTGCAGTTTGAGCCCGTTGCTCCCTGTTCTGTCATCTGCACCCACTGAGGACAGTCCAGCTCCATCCTCTTTGCAGGGAGTTGAAGGCTGCTATCAAATCCCCGCTCAGTCTTCTCTTCTGCAGACTAAATCAGCCCATTTCCCTCAGCCTCTCCTCACCAGTCCTGTCCCCCAGCCCCACAACCATTTTCATTGCCCTCCACTGGACTCCAATGTGTCCACATCCTTTCTTTAGTGAGGGGCCCACAACTGGACACAGGACTCCAGATGTGGCCTCCGCAGTGCTGAAAAGAGGGGAAGAATCGCTTCCCTCAATCTCCTGGCAACGCTCCTACTAATACAGCCCAGGATGTCATTGAACAGAACAGCTTGAGATGTTTCCTCTAGCATCTCTCACCCAGTAGATGGTTGATGCCAGAGAGAGTATTGAATAGATCTGGCTAGACAGAGCCTTGGCTGGGATGATGTAGTTGGGGTGGTCCTGCTTTGAGCATGAGGTTGGACTAGGTGTCTCCTGAGGTCCCACCCAACCTTCATCATCTTTGATTCTAGGAGAGTATTGTGATAGATCACATAGACAAATCCATTTCAGTGCTCTCCCTTCATAGCATCCATTTCTGGCAATGTTGGAATCCAAATACTGAGCTAGATGGACCATTATTCCAACTCAGTATGGTGCTACTTATGTTCTTAACTAGTTTAGAAGCTATATCACAAGGGAATTAAATTTCTATAAATAGTGTTTTATTGTAAAGGAAGATGGAATAAAATATTGTGAATGAGGGGTCAAATCTGGCCAGAGTTGTGTTGAAAACATCAATTCCCTTATATACCCTTTGTTCTGAGACTCGTACCTTTTTGGATGACCAATATATCATCTATGAATGACCACCTCTTCTATTGTTTCACTTCTCTCTGTAGACCTCAGTAATTTCTTAGTGTACTTGTAGGATCAGGTCTAAGGCAGAGGTCAGTTATCACCAATCCTATCCAGAGCCCCTCGCTTTTCATTTGCTTATTGTTAACCTGCAAGATTGTGCTTTCAGTCCTTAACATGACCCCCAGACAGACTGGAGAGTCTGTCTGCAGTTCACCCTCTCTTCCTTTTGTCTTGTGTTACTAAAACTGTTCTTGTTTAGGATGCCGGTTATCTGTCATTGTTAGACCGTGTCAAGGGAAAGTGCATCTCCCCTCCCCTATGCTGTTTCCACTGCTGTTAGTCACTGCTTCCAGATCTCAGTATTTCTTACTCTGTTTGACAACTTTGTACAATCTTTGCAGACATCTGCATGGAAAGGTGTTTGCCTTGTTGCATAGATGTGTTGCTTTTGTGTGTTCCTGCAGCAACTCTCCCTTTGAGGCAGTGCCTTTTGCCTCTGCTTTAACACTGGCAGCGTCCAGCATATTAACACATCATTTGAGCTGCACAGCTGATGAACTGTTTATTCTGTTGGCTTCCCATTTCTATCACCATTTTGTTGATGCTACTCAGGTTGTAAACTCAGTGGGGAGGACTCTTTTCTTTAATTGCTTGTGTTGCATTTGGCACAATGGTTTCTGACTTGAGCACAGCCATACAAAAACAATCCCACCCCCCCCCCCCCCCCCCCCCCAAATGCTTTTTATTTTTCATCCCCAGCTGTGTGATCTGGTGCGAACGGGATTCTCTAGCAATTCACAATTCGTCTTCATGGGCCCACTTCCTTTTGAGGAGTAGGAGGTTTGAGTCTAATAAATAATTAATTGGTAGCCCTGCTTTACAGGAATTGTGGCAGTGTGTAGGCAGGGTTGTTGTAGAAGTGGGAACTCTTGGTCCTAGTGGATCCAGCGCATGGAGAGTGGGGTGAGCTGCAGACTTTCCTGTTTGTCTTGTGATGATTTTAAAGAGCCTTGTAACCATTTTCCTGTTCTGTTGGCAAGTAGTGGCTAATCCTTTCCCTGGCATAAAATATTGTGACATCTTGATGCGTGGCACAGAGGGAGTACGGGGGCCAGAAGACGCTTGATCCCTGTCGAACTTGATATTGTACCAGCCAACTTTGTTTGACTTTGTGGAACAATTCCTGGAGCCTTCACCTAACCACTGTTCTCTTCTCCTTCCCAGTACAGTGCCGTGGACAGCAACCCGCTCTCCCTGTATGTCATGCATCCGTTCTGGAACACGGTGGTGAAGGTGAGGAGGCTTCCAGCTGCTTGTGGTTCTGTGCTGGAGATGGAAGGGCAAAAATGTGGGTCACTGCAAAACTAGACCCCGTGGGATTTCATTTGAAATGAACCCTGCCTTGTTCATTTTGTGACTAATGCAAAAATGTCTAAGAAGGATGCTAACAATCTGGAGATGAGGGCTGCACCATAATAATTTTTAGAAGCTGCTGCTAAATTTTAAAAGCTGCATCTAATGCCAATAAGTAGTCACCTCCTCTCCAGTGTAGCTAAAAGCTATGTGTTGTGCTTATTTTATGTGCTAATGAGGTTCTCTGTGCTTTTTTGCTGCTTTTCCATAGATTTTCCCCACTTGGCTGGCCCCAAATCTGATAACCTTTTGTGGCTTCCTTCTGCTTGTCTTCAACTTCTTCCTCATGGCATACTTTGACCCTGATTTTTATGCTTCTGGTAAGATTACTTGTTTCAGTTTGTTTTAAATGTTGGGAGCAGAAAACCTCTGATATACATGTGCTCCATTACCATAGTTTTGCAACTTCATGCACTGACCAATTTTGCTTTCTTATTTATTTCTGTGGGGTGTTTAGAGTTTAAAATATCGAAGGCAGTTACAAGAGGTGTAGAGGATGTTGCTGGCTATCCTGTCATCAGCAGCCAAAATGTGACTCATTCCTTCAAGTTGTTGCATGAGAAGAACTAGTAAATAAAAAACCAGAAACAAACGTGTGCCTTTTGGAGTCCTGATGAGCTTTTAGCATCTGATTTAAGTTAAAGATCAAAACATCCAATTACATTTACAGACTTGTGGAAAAGCAAGTAGTAATACAGCTACTAATAAATAGCACATGTTTAAAAATAATTTAGCCTCACGGTAATGAAACACATTTAGCAGGATATTTCACATTAGAGACTGTTTGTCTAGTTCATCTGTATTTTACAGGGCTCTGTAAAAAGCTGAGTTGTATATTTAACTTTTTGCAATCTCATATCTTTGTGCTACACTGCAATCACTATGCTGCAGTGATTTATATGCACATCTACAACACAGTCCCTGGTGATCTTGCTCTCCTTGTCATTGTGATAAATGACCTGACTGGTGGATTTTATATAGGAGTCTTGTTAGACTGCTTTAATTTAAATTTTTTGCCTCCATTTGTGCAGGAGAGAGGATTTAAGATGTTCGGTTTTCTGGAAGTCTCTGTATAGCAACCTTTGTCCTTAATCTTTATGGATAGATTCTTGTTTGGCCTCCTGTTTCGGAAGGGATCCTGTGAAGTCCTGTTACGTGCTTGTTAGCATAGAGGACATAGAAAAGGAATAAAAGTGTCCTATAAATAAAGAGGAAGAAATATGGTTAATTCTAGGCCTAGTACCTAGTTCTTGTCTGGAAACTAATCTAGATATTGGCTCTATAAAGCTGCATAAAAATGATTAGCAGGTACTAGGATTCTGGGCAAGTATTACGTTGTTTTATTGTTTTGAAGGCACAGAGCTAAAAGGTCTAAGAAAATCCTATTTCAGTGCACACAAGTACCAATTTTTGAAGCATGGTCATCTTATGAGAGCCTGATTTCCTTCCTCCTCCCTTCCCACCTCCTTATTTACCCCCTACCCTACTCGTTATTTGTACCAGGGAAGAAGTGAGTGTACAATGCTAATCTTTGTAGAAATGGTTTGTACGTTACTCATGAATGACTACCAAGGTATAGAAAAATCAGGATTTGGCCTTGAATTAATAAGAAACACTACTTTTGGGAGGAGGCTTTGTTGGAAAGCTTCTTTTTGTGGGTACAGCTAAAAATTTTTTTTTTTATAACGGCTGATCTATAAGGAGCTGATGAGCAGTGTCTTAGTGACGACATCAAATGTAATGCTGCTTCGGATTTTGTACTACATATCGAGTAGCTCAGGTCTCACTGAAAAAAGCAGCACCTGTAATGAGCCAATTGTGGAATGCACCTGGAGATCTGAGAAATGTAATTCAAAGGAGCGCTGCCCACTCTGCTCCTCAGCAGTCTGCAAGCTCCCATGGTGAGGATCCCACTCTAATCCATAGAAATAGCACGCTGGGCTAGAAAACAAAGAGCTAAGATGTACAGATGAGAACACTTCATCTGCCCTGCAGGGGTAATTCTCCATCAGCTTGTCTTTTTGTGAGTTTGCATTAGCTGCTTACAAGGGGGAGACCCATTCCCAGGCCCTCCACGTGAAAGGGTAGGTAGTGAACTGGGCTGCTGACTAGCTAAGAGCACTTGGTGGCATATATGATTCAGTGATCTGGCTTTTCATCTCAAAGATGTATTCAGATCTTGATATTTATTTTATTATTATTATTATTTATTATTATTATTATTATTATAATAATCCACAAGTGCGAGGAGCTTATTTATCAGCCTTCTCCATAATGGATACGTGTCTCTTAAAATTAGGTCTCTACCAATATTGGTACTTTTAAAAATTAGCTGACTCCCTTTTGGAAAGTCTGATATTCAACCAGGTAACATTTCAATTTCCTGCCTAAAAGTGGATCACTAGGAGAAGGCAGCTCTCTTTAGAGTCAGCTGCATACACTACTTTGTACCTCACCCTAACTGCTAAATCTGGTAGTGGAGAGGAGAGGGTCTGCAGCCTTCTAGTCTGCTTGAAGCACTGCCCCTTGCTTCTCTCCCCTGTTTAATGGCCTTGTGTCAAGTGAGCCTGCTTCCCTGTTGCAGTTCCCTTTTCCTGTTTACATTAAACTTGGAGGAAACCCTGTGGACAGCACATTTCACATCTGATTTTTTGGATTCCAAGAGGTTCCTTGTCTTCCTTCCCTCACCCTTGTCATTTGCATTGTCCATCAAACTTTTGAGCCATAGAAATTTGAAATGGAGAAGTCCCCTTCATTCAGTCCATTTCCTCAGTGATGCTTGCCTTTCCCTTGCAGCATGCTCTGTGATACTTATTTTGGTCCATCTGTACAGAATAGTTCCAACTAGGGGGGGGGTTTGCCACTTCCTTGGAAACTGGTCCACAGACCAGACATAATTGTCATGACTGGGTTTGTATCCCTTGTTGCTTTATATCAAAGGTGTCCAACCTTTTTGAATGTGGGGCCAGATCACGAACCTTTTATCACCCAGTGGGCCAGCGAGCCATATTCAAAGACCTCACAGGAAGTGGTATCACACCAGGAAGTGATGTTACGTGACCTTTGACACCAATGAAGTTGCAGGAAGTGACAATGAAATGGGTCTAAATAACCGGTTCAAAACTCTCCCACTATAGCATCCACCTCTGCCACTGTTTGGAACAGGATACTGAGCTAGATGGACCATGGGGCTGGCCAAGCATGGCACTTTTTATGCTATTATGTTCAGAAGCTCTTATGTTCTTTGGCTGAGCTTCCAAACTATGGCTGAGATTTGCAAAAAGGGGTAGATAGGCATGTTATAAAGTTGTCACAAAGGATTTGGAGCCCTCTAAATCGTATTCATTTTAATGGAAGTTCGCCTTTTGACTCAGCTTTGCAAATCTCAGCCCAAGATGCCAACCAAATAAGTCAAAATATATTTTGCATTTCTATGCAGTGCATCTATATGGGGTTCTCCAAGCATTTTACAAACATGAAATGAACCTTGGGATGAGCCCAGCCAGAGGAGCAGGGGCTCAGCTGCACTTTCCCCCTACCGGCGCTGGTCAGTCCCAAGCGGCACACGGCTCTGCCGCCGCCTCTGCTGGCTGGTGCTGACCCAGGCAGGTCTGTCCCATCCGGAGCAGCATGCAGCTGAAGCCGGATTCCCACATCGGGCCCGGGGGGGCGCCACGCGGGGCCAGCACCGGCCAGCAGAAGTGGCAGTGGAGCCATGTGCTGCTCAGGACGGACGGGCGCAGGCAGGGGGAAAATGCAGCTCAGCTCAGCTCAGCCCCTGCCGCTCCGGCCAGGCTCATCCCGTCCCGAGTGGCACACGGCTCTGCCAGCGCTTCTGCTGGCTGGTGCAGACCCAGCCAGGCTCCTCCCATCCCCAGTAGCATGTGGGAAGCCAGCTTCGGCTGCATGCCACTTTTCCTGGCCGGTGCTGACCCGGCTGGGGCCCCGCCC